TTCTGCCTGCCTTATCCTCTTCTGATACTCAGGGTACGGAGCCACATCCCATCTGGAAACGGGTGGGTTTATCCGCAGCCAGCCTGGGGTCTCCCACCCAGATATTCAGTTCCATTTCCTGCCATCCCAAGTGATTGATCATGGCCGGGTCCCCACCAAGCAGGAGGCTTACCAGGTGAGCTCAGGAGCCACTGCTAGGCAGATTCCTCCTCCCCAGTATGGGGCTTTCAGACCCTTGCCCTCCAGTGGCTCAGTGTGTCAATGGGGAGAGAAAAGTGGCAGCCCAGAATCTTTGTATGGAAGGGAGGAGTTGATCAGTGTGAGGAGGGGGCTCTGGGGTCCCATCACCATTCATGGGCAAGACAGGCTGTGTACCAAGGAGTGTAAAGCTGGGAGGGAACAGGGATTCCTGGAGGTAGGGCGAGATGCAGGCCAGATATGTGTCAGACTGTATCTGTTCTTAATTGATGCTGGCTTACCCCACAGGAAACCAAGGACTGCTCCAAGCTACTGCGTTGGGTTGAGGGAGGTCAATGTCTCCTCTGAACTCTCCTAGGTACACGTGGGGCCTATGCGGAGCCCAAGTGTGGGCTGGCTCAAACTGAGAAGTAAAAATCCCCAGGACCACCCAATAATCCAACCCAACTACTTGTCCACAGGTAATTCAGGAGCTACTGGTATCTCCCCTCGACTTAGGCTGGATAAATGCCTTTATAGGATCCTCATTTGTCCCTGCCCTATCACCCTAGGCCATAAGCTTGGAGGCACAATGTCCTGGGCCAGGTGAAGTAACCCCAGCACCTCACTTGGCAGGTGAGAGGTGCAGGGACACCTGGCAGTGTGTGAGCAGCTCACCATACCAGGCCTGCCTATTTGCCAAAATGAGCGCCTCTGTTGGACAGAGCCTGCCTCTGCTACCATGTGGCTGTGAAAGCCCCCATGCCAACTCTGGGGCAGAAGCTGCCCATCTAGAATGGTTGTGGGCAGGTGATACACACCTGGTGACTTGGTCTTCCTTCCATGTCTGTGAACTTTGTCCCCTGTGGCTGGTTGAGCCTCTGCATACCTGGAATTTTCCAGGAAGGCCAGCATGGTAAGAGGGAGGGCCTCATTTTGTCTTTTCTCTACAGAAACAGATATCAAAGAATTCCGTCAGTGTGTGAGGCTGTCCAGGGAAATTTTTGCACAGGAAGCCCTGGCTCCCTTTCGGGGGGAGGAACTCCAGCCAGGAAGCCACGTTCAGTCGGATAAGGAGATAGATGCCTTTGTGCGGAGAAAAGCTGACAGTGCTTACCACCCCTCATGCACCTGTAAGATGGGCCAGCCCTCCGATCCCATGGCCGTGGTGGACCCAAAGACCAGGGTCCTGGGGGTAGAAAACCTCAGGGTCGTTGATGCCTCCATCATGCCCAGCATAGTCAGTGGCAACCTGAACGCCCCCACAATCATGATTGCAGAAAAAGCAGCCGACATCATTAAGGGGCAGCCTGCACTCTGGGACAGGGATGTTCCTGTCTACAAGCCTAAGACCTTGGACACCCAGCGTTAAGACAGCCACTGCCTCAGGATGACCAGAGAGGCCCCCAGCACGCTGACAGGACCAATCAGCCGCCCTTCCTCCAAATGTTGCCAGAAGCTACCTGGAACACTGGGACCTAGGTAGCCCTACTCGGTGGCTGAGAACTGGATAATGTCGCAGGAAATGAGACTAGTTCTAGTCAGTATGTCAAGTTGTTCTCCTCCAGCATTTTGATATAGTCCTTTGGGGGAAGGCCACTGTGCAGCCTGGGACCCTGCCTCCTGGAGGATAGCGGAGGTGATAGGGAAACGTGAACTGCCACATTCTCGTTCTTTATCCATGTGGTCTTCTCCAACGCGGGGTCCTGCTGCCTCGAGCAGAATGCTTTCTTCCAGGCTTCCCCCTAAGAGGACAGGGTGGTTTGCCCAGATGTGGTAAGCTTGCACTGAGCCCCCCAAGGAAGGGTATCATCCTGTGTCTTGAGCTTTACCCGAGGCTGCAAGTCATAGGTGTTAGCTCAGCCCAGGCTGGCACCGAATCCTGAGGATCCCTGGGCAGAGGGAAAGTTGCCATCTGACTTTTGTCTTTCCCTAATCCTGATTTTACTGTCAGTGAGAGGGCCCCCCTCCATAGTGTTCTGATTCTTATTAAACAGTCCCGATGAAAGGCTTTCTGGACCTCATTCAAGGAGGGAAAGGCACTTTGGTCTTATTACCAAGAAACACAGACTCCTAGGGCCAACCCCACATACCAGGTCACCTCTTTTGTCAGGAAAGCTCTGGCTGCTTCCCAGGGCTCTAGTACAGAGACAGGGCAAATTCTTATTCTCTGGACGTTCATGGGAACAGATCAGAATGGTGCTGAGAGTGATAGAAAAGCAGCTAAGTACAAGAAACAGTAATTGAAGATTTGAGTTTTTGGAGGGAGGGGGATAGCTACAAGGAGCATTTACAAAAGCTCTTTGATATTTAATATATATAGTAACTTATTTTTGAACTGTGACACCCCATAGGCTTGCGAATGAAAAGAAAAATCAATTCAAAATGCTTTTAGTTAAACCGTGCAAATCTTCCATGGATAGGAGGGAAGAAAAGTGATGTGGAAACCTGCAGTGCTGGGCCCAGAATAAGGAGGGGGAAACCCAGGGGTTCCAGGCAGCTCACAGATCTTGGAGGCCCAATAACTGCAACTTAACATTTCTGAGAAAAACCTTCCAGAAAGGTGGACAGAAAGAAACCATCATACATATTCCTTTTAAAACTTTAGGCAGTTCTTGTTTAATCTTACCTGTATTTTTTTCTCTGTTCCAAGAGAAGATCAAGAAAGAAAATTCTAGATCTGCTAAGAGATTTCTCTTCAAAAGTTAGAGGGTCCTCTCAGCAGCCATCCATCCTCTGGTGACTCAGATGGCAGCTAGGCCACGTGCTACCATCCGGTCAGAGAGGTCGTGTTGATTCAGGGAAGGGTACGTTTTGGTTGCAGGGCTGACTGTGAATTTACTGACGTAGATAGGGCAGCTGACAAGTCATTTAGTTCCAACATCTCTGCATCCCATGGTGTCTCAGTCTCTGAGACAAAAGCAGCTGTATCTTGAGATAAAGCAGAGTGACATGTGATAAGAGCCCATCAGGCCCCTCTCCTCCTTTCACATGGTGAGGCGGTTTCCACATAATCGCACAAGGAAACACATTTCAAGAGATAAGACAGCAAGTGTCATGTGTCCAGAACCCACAGAAGTCAAACCAGGAAACTGCTGTTGGGGTTCAGGCACAAGGTTGACTTGAAGAGTTCCTCACATGAGCCCTGACAAACAGATGTGGCTGCTGCCACAGCACTGGCCCACATCCAAACAACAGGCTGTCTGGAAATTCCACTGCCATGAGGAAGAGAGGGCTGAGGGAGCCCAAGTAGGTAGGACAGTGCTCACTTGTGGGGAACCAGGCCAACTTCGATGGCTGAGCCTCTTGTCAAAAAGCTTATCATACCTAACAGCAGAAGACTGCTCAAAGAGTCAGAAGGGTATCCATGGCCAGAGCTCTGAGGAGCCTCACCTCGTGGAAGATGACCGTACTCACACCACGGGAAGAATTTGATAGGAGGGACAGATCGAGGAAGGGCCAGGAGCCTCAGCCAGCATGACTAGAAATGGTGAGTGCCAGGAGTGGAAGTTGAGGTGCCCCAACGCACAGCCTTTCCGCTTCCACTGCAGGCTGCAGGATAATGATTTCCATAAATTCAAATAGATTCTTCACTCCAGCCAAACCCTAACCCTCAGCCCAAAAGTTGTTTTCATATTTCCACTTATAAACTAACATGACATCAGCGCTGAGACAATTTTTGTTTCTTCCCCCTTGAAAATCAGAAAAAAAGATACCTCTCGTTCATGCGTCCAGATATTCTCCAGCCACCCTCCTCACCCCATTCTGATGGCAGAAGCCAACACCCAAACCTGTTCCTCCTTCCACACTGCCCTCCCAGGCCCTGGAGGGAAGAAAGAACCTTTCAATAAGCCACAGCTGGGCCTTAAGTTGTAGGTCAGGCACTGGTGTTCCGCATGTGCTATCAGCTCTGTGGCTAGCCTTTTTTTTTTTAACAAATAGTCCACCCTATAAATAAAAGCCTGTGGGAAAATGCAATTGGCATAGACGTTTTAGACTGTGAAATAAACATCTCTGGCTTCTTTGAAGAGTGGGGTCCCCTAGTAAAGTGGGTGAGCATCTAGCTGCCATTGCCCCAGGTAGGCAGAGCCACAGCTTGCAATGAGTGGTTTTCAGTCCCCCCAAATCCACCCCTCCTGGCCTTCACTCAATTCTGCAACACACCAGAGCTAGGACCTGTCACCTGGCCAAACGGGAATCCAGCTGTTTGGGAATTAGAGTCCACATGCTGAACAAGAACAAGATGGTTCTCACTGTTGATTTACAGTTGAATCAAAATCGCCATTTCTACACAAGGTTAAAGAAATATACTATTCCTGAGAATACAAAACCGTTTAGGGGAGGGTCCAGAAAGTAGAGATATTAAATCTTAAAACTCTCCTAAAACAAAGGGAAAAAACCATGCTCTACAACTTCAGATTTTTCTTAAAAAGAGAAATTTAATATTAGATGAGAGGTTGGACCAGGCAGACAGATACCAGGAAGTGGTGCAGCCTTTATCAACGCCAGCATTTAAGTACTGACTTCAGAAAACACTTGTCACCTGTTCCAGAACATGCAGTCCTGGGAGGTGATTTTGACCTGATGATGTGCAGCCCCACAGTAATACCAAAGCCCAGTGGAGACAGTCCAGATAATGTTGACAGTGGTGTAGCCCTTTGGGAGAAGTGGCGCTCTCTGTGGCTGGTGTTACCATGGGCATCGAAGGAGCTGAGGACGAGGAAAAATCTACCTGTGTGCAGAGCTGCCCAGAGAGCGCCTGCCCCGCAGCTCTCACTGGCCAGGAGAGCTCCCGAAGACAATGAAATTATTACGCAGTTTCATTCTGAAGAACAGTTTGCATTTTAATAAAAAAGGCTTTCTGTCAGGAAATAGTCATTTACAAACCTTGAAGTGTTTTTGCCCAGATCTGGAGTAAGAATGTCTTAAGAAGAGGTTTGTGAGGTCTTTATAACAAAGTGTTATTTACAAAAAAAAAAAAAAAAAAAAAAAAATTCTGACAGTTTGTCTACGTACTAGTTAAAAAAGTTTGAACCAAAATTGCTACCTGTCTTTGTGATTGCAGGGAATCCCTGCCAAGGTCACGTAATGACGTTGGAGTGATTCTGTTAACAGAAAAGGAAGCCTTGACAGTTCTAATGATCCAAAACTGGCTTTTTCCAGGACATACAGTCGGAGTACATTCTCATGAAAACTTCAGCCCTCATTCAATTGCATATAAAAGCCCTCAAAGAGAACACAGCACAGCAACATTTTGTAAAAGGCAACAGCATAATCTGTACAGACCCCGACATTCTGACCCTAAGGGTCACCACAGTGCTCCTCCGTCCCCCACCCCAGCACCACCAGTCCCCAGGGCACTGGAGCAGACATACTACTTTCACCTGTGCAATTATTTCTGCAGCAGAGTTGCAGAAATGGCCTGTGTGGGCAGCTGAGGCAATAAACCTACGCCTGCACCAGGGCAGAGTAGCCCAGCTTGACCTACTCTGTAATAGACTTATCAGAGGGTTATTAAAGTAAAACCAAACAGATAATTGCAACCCCTGGTGGATAAAAGTACCCTATCAAAATCATAGAATTCTTGCCCAAAGAAAAAAACTGCAAGTAGTCATCTTGTATACTTATGTAAAGACAGGTTTATAGTGACTCAAAATATTTTAGAAAAATTTCTGTAGTGTCAAGTTCTTTCGAACTCAAAATTTTACCCCCAAAGGATTTTCACTGAATATGTGAGAATTGGCTCTATTTTGTCTACCTTTCTATAGCCCAAGTAAAAATACTAGTAATTTCTAGATTTCAGTGGGGAACTATAATTGTTAGGACCCATGGATATTGCTGCAGTTCAAATACGGTACAATAATTACAAAATATAGACCATCTCTTTACAAATACAAATTGTAATATATTACAAGTCATGTACAGTAAATCTATAATTTTTAAACAAACTAGTGTATCTAAGTTTACCTGGTTGCAAGTGCATTATTATTTCCAGTTTACAGTTGCCCTTAAGCACGACAGTCGGAACTGACCATCCGAGTGACGTTCTCTTATGTAAACTGGCGTCATATAGCAGAAAACCTTGTCTATGAGGTCCCACTCCCCTCTCATGATGATCGCTGGTAGCGGGGTTCTGACACTGTCCTCCAGAACAGCTAAACAGGAACCAGGAAGCAGTGTGTTTGGGGTATAAAAATGGATATGCTGGGCCCAGTGAGTGTCTGATATGCTAGACTGATGGCTGAGGTAATGACAAGGTGTGGTGATCGTCATCACCTTTAACCTTCCCCACCGCTCCTTCGGGCACCCTGGGTGCGGTGAGACTTGGACTCCCCTGGCAGCACCCATCTGGGTGGTCAGGAGGAACTGCTCTGGCCTTACCCGCCCTCGCAAGAGGACCAGATCTGCCTTCTGCTGCTGAGCTCAGCGCCTGGCGCGCTGCTGAGCTTGCCGCTTGGAACCTGTACCTACCAGGTTTATGGCTTCCTTGAGGCATGACATCACTTGTACAAAAGTCTAATTGAATATTTACTCCCAACTAGTGCCTAAACTTTCTAACTACGAGGCACTTTTCCCCCACAAAGGCTGGAGCTGCTCTGCCCCTGCTGAGGCTACAAGGTGGTGATGCAGATCATCTCATCTGCCAGGTCTTCCTCATCTCGTCCAAGGTCTGGCTCTTCGTCACTATAGCCTGGACCGAAGTCCTGGAACTCATAGTCCTGCCGGTGTGAGGCAGGACCCAGATCCCCATTGGCCCGAGGACACACGTTCCCGTTGAGCAGGGTGCTGGCTGCACTTTCCATCTCATCAATGGTTAAGTCACAAGCATCGGCGATTTCATGTTTTGTAGCCGACACAAATTTTGGATCTCTTGCGTAGCGTCCTAAGCCTTCAGATATCAGGACCTGTACAAGATACAAGGTGGCATCAACATGTCATGGCTTTGCTGAGGGGGAGAGGTGGCAGAAAAAGCCACTCAAGTGCTAACTGCATGATGTGCCATGGGGACCTCGCCCAACCACGTTTCCCAGACCTCACAAGTGACGACTAAGTGTGAATGGCTTTAGCTTTGAAAACATCAGGAAGCTGAAAAGCCCCACACGGCTCCAGAGTGAACCCGCTGGGGGAGAATAGGGTACAGCCTGGCAGCGCCGGGAGAAACGCTCGCAGGGAGCTCAGTGTAGCTCATCTATGAGATCTAGCCGTTTCTGCTCAGGCTTTGCACACCATTCCTCCTGCTGAGGAGTATCAGGACTGGGTGGACAGGCTCTGGCCCCCTCCTGTGGAGTGTGGCTGGTTGGCTCTCCTGGCTCTGCCTCTGCTCTCAGGCCCCAGTGGCTAAAGTCCATACTCACTGCCTCCACCAAGCTGTCTGCGCTCCTCTGCTTGTCACTGTTTTTGTTCCGAAAGCTGCTGGGGACAGTCAGGCTGGCTGGTGTGAATGTCCTATAGGAGATGTCAGGCTCATCTGTGTACCAGGAGCTGCGGTGCAGGGATGGCAGGCTGCCATTGACCTGGTCCAGGGACTCTGACCTTTCCACCTGGATCAGGGGGGTGTAGCACGGTGTCCAGTCCCGGTATGGAGGGGTTGCTGGAGGGGTGGCCCATGACCGGGTTGAGTGGCTTGGTGAGTACTTCTGGGCTTTACTCGAATCCAGGCCTGCAACTGCCATGATCTGAGGAGAGACAGGAGAGTGGGGAGGAGGAGGCCCTGAGAGGCTGGGTGCTGCTTCATAGGCAGCCTCTCCCAAGGACACAAGAAAATTAAGTGAGCTGTCAAAAGAACTGTGGGTTCCTAACAGATGTGTTTTCTCTTACACCAAGTCATTCCTAATGTGTTTCCTATTACTGCACAAGGAGTTTTGTTATTATCATGCAGTTGCTTCAGAATGACGACAAATCAGGAAGTTGAGGTGTGTGGACATACCACCTGGTCTCTCTGGGTTTAAATACTGGAGGATGTTCAGGAAAAAGCAAGGAGTCCAGCTCACAGAGGAAAATAGCTGGCTCGCTCCTCTCCAGTACAGCTCACCCTGTGCCCAGCAGTCCTCTGTCCTGTGGCACTGAGCACAAACCCTGCTTCCTACAGATTCACCACAGTAGATCCGCCTTGGGATTCCCACAGTGCAGAGGGACCTGAGCCTGTGGGTAAACAGCACAGGTTCACCCAATGGAGGCAGCTGAGACAAGACCAGGGCCTGGTTCACATGAAGCACATGCCCTTAGAGACCTCCATGCCTACTAGAATCATAACATCTGGTGGCTTGGATCTTCTAAAGGTTTGTTCTTTGTCCTTGATGACACAGAACAATTAAAAATTAGCATTAAAAGTGCAAGTAGAGGGCTGGGTGTGCTGGTGCACTCCTGTAATCCCAGTGGCTACGGAGGTTGAGGCAGGAGGATCCCAAGTTCAAAGCCAGCCTTAGCATCTTAGTGAGGCCCTCAGTAACTCAGCAAGACTCTCCCTCAAAAAATTAAAAAAGGGCTGGGGATGTGGTATAGTAGATATGCACCCCTGGGTTCAATCCCCAGTATTCACCCTGCTCCCAAAAACATGCAAGCAGAGAAGTGAAAAGCTGGCAGAGACTGGACTAGAAAATCTGAACTGGCCTCACTGAGTGTTCATGTGCTCAGGACCCTGGGTTAAGAACCCTGCAAAGACCTGTCTCTACCAATGGACTGGCTGAGTGCTAGAAAGTCCCTTGACCACCCTGTGCCCCACAATCCATGAACAGACATATGATGAACCATACTCTTGTCATTGAGGCAGAGCACCAGTGAGTGGGTGCCACAGGCTGCCTTGTGCCCAGCTACCTTCCCTGTGGGCAGGGAGTTCCCTGGGCCATCCCTGTGACCACAGAACTCCATGAATGTGTCTTAACAGAGGAACTACCTCTCAGAGCAGATAAAGAACAGCGGCAATTTGGGGGAATCTGGCAAGAGGCTATGGCTCCTTGAGACAGGGATTATCCCAGCCTTGCCTTCAGTGCCAGGAAGCTGGCACTGGATCAGACAGGGCCCAGCTTCCCCTCCCGTGGCGCTCCTGTGGAGTGGGCTGGAAGATCTATCGGGCAGGGCTGCTCTCAGGACTAGACCAGATTGTATGTGTAGGTTCTCTCCCTCCCTCCCTCCCTCCCTCTGGGTGCTGGCAGCCAAGGGAAGGGTGCATCCAATGGGACCCAGGCAGAGGAAGGCCAGGTGGGTGGCTCACCTGCTGCTGCATCAGGTGCAGAGGCAGGGCCGCTCGGTGTGGCAGGGCAGGTGACGGTGGGACCTCCTCCTGGCTGCTCTGCCGGCGCAGGCACTCAAAGTTGAAGGAGGATCTCCGGTGAGCTGGGAAGTCAAAGCACATCATGCATGGTGAAGTGGGTTCTGCCAGGACAGCATCTCTTTGCAATAGGGGTGGCCCCGGATGTTGAACCCGGGAAGCAGCACACCATCTACTTGGAAGAGAGGTGTAGTGAGGTCTCAGTGATGGGAGGGGAAGATGAAGGAAGCAGCCCGACTAAGTTTTGTTGTATTTTTAAAAATAAAAATGTAGTAAGTGTTCATCTGTTCTAGGCAGGCCAAAGGATATCCAGGTTGGGTCAGCAGCCCCGGTCACACATTATCATGGAGAACAAGCTCATGGAGTCATTCTAGAATTCCAGACCTCTCCTCACTGTCCCTGTTTCACCTTCAGACACAAGGCCTCATGTTTGTGCCTCTCAAGGAAGGGATTCTGCCTGCCCCATCAGCTCAACCACGCAGTGAGCACACATTATCACTGGACGTGGACCCAGCCTCCCAAGAGCCAAAGAACACCTCTGAGAATGTGGCCATCCTATTAAGGAGCTATTTTGAAGGGAGGTTCACTCATAGGTTGAATGATGACAAGGCGACTTGTAACTTTTAGCTTCATAGAGCCCAGGAGATCAGGCTGAATCAGAGGCCCTTTCACTGAGCAAAAGGCCTTTGTTCCACCCTCATGGGGCTGCTGCAGGGAGCCCACCCGTGGTCCTCCAGGCAGCAGCTGCATCATTTCAAGTGCTCCCTCTGCTTTCCAAGCTCACAGGGAATTTCTTGGCCCCAGTAAAACTCCACATGCTCTTAATTCCTGTACTGAAAAACCTCAGGGTCTGGCCTTGAGAGGCCTGGACTGTACGTGAAGCTCTAGAAACTGGAGTCTGTCATGAAAGAGGCTGAACCCTTGTCTGGCCACTGCCCAGGGGAGAGGAATCAAACAGAAGGCCACAATGGGCCAAGCTCAACACCCTCTGAGGGCTTGCTGGGACCTCCTGCCTTTGAAAGCCTTCCCTCCACGCACCACCCAGGGGATGGGCCTGTTAGTACAACCTCTAGGACCCATGATCTGGTGGCAGGCCCAGAAGTTCAGGTGGGACAGGAAAGTAATAATCCCTCTCATGCATATGGTACATTTCCATGTCTAAAACCGGTCCCCAGATCCTCTCATCTGGTGTGCTCTGCATAACAATCTCTTGAGGAAGGAGTCATCCCATGGTGGCTGAGAACACAGGCCAGAGGAGCTCAATTTTCTCCCTGCCCAAGGTCTGAGCTGAGGGACAGCAAAACCAAGCCCCCTTATAGGTGAGGAGGGCAGCTGCTCCTGCCTGCCCGGCCCTTCTCCGTGGCTGCGGATGGGGTGGTGGGCATCCGTGCACATGTCCATGGGCCATCTGTGTGGGTGAATAAGCAAAGGCTGAGGTCAAAGGAAGGCAGAAGAAACCACAGACACAGGGGACCCTCCACCCAAGCTCACCTGTACACACTTCATCTAGTATTTATGAGAAACAGAATGGCTCCTTTGAGCAGCATGTGTTTGTTGCTGAACAATTAAATATTAACCATGGAAATGGGCCTGATTACACGGCCCAGCAGGCTGTGACAGCTGGAATGAGGCACAGAGTCCCATGCACCACCCAATCACGCTCTTCGCTGTGGGGGCAGCAGGCAGAGTCAGGAGCTGCTGTCTCAGTTATTTCTGGTTACTGATTAGAGTCCTGTTCAAAATTAAGCTTCATTCCCCAGAGACACCAGAAATGGACATTCTTTTACCCATCAAAACACCCACATGTCCAAAATGAAACTGCCCCACCAAAAACTAGCAGGGCCACGGCTGCAGTTCTTTCCCTAGCCTGAGATCTTTGCTTGGGGTGACCCACATCTGACAGTGCTAGTCATGGCACTTGCTGCAGGAGGAAAGCAAGGAAGTCCCCCCTCATCGGGACAGGCTCTCTGACCCCAGAATAGGAACATTTATCCTGGAGGTGACTACCAAGGCCATTACCTGCCCCTCCCTGAGAGGGAGGGAGGGAAAGGAGATTAAGCCCTGGAGGGACCAGAAGAGGGACTGGAGGAGAAATGGACACCAAGAATCCTCAGGTGCTCCTCAGAGGCAGGGCTTGTAGACAGGCTCTGTACTGAGCCAATCCTTCCCTCTCAGAGACAGCTCCTCAGGGTGGAATGGGGCAGAGCTGATGACAACAAAGGCACACATCTGTCTTGCCCAGCTCTCAGGACAGACCCCAGGCTCAAGGGCAATGCGGCGCCCACAAGAGCCCCTTCTCCAGCATCGGTGTGCAATTTTAGGGCAACAGCCTGCCTCTGTCCTCAAGAAGAGCCATGGGCAATGCTGAGCAGCATAAGCTCCATCAAGGGTGCGGTGACAGGAAGGCCAAGGCCCTTAGCATCTGAGGCACTGGCCTCGAGGACCATCGGACCCTGATGTGGCAAGACTAGTCTGAGGGTGAGGGGACAGGCACACCATTCTCTGGGAGGCTTCACCAAAAACAAGAAACGTGGCCTCACATGTTGGGGTGGGAGGTAGCAGGCGTCTCCGGGGAGATCTCCGTGAGTCATAGCCAACAGGGGAGTCATCGTCCTCCCAGAAGCCCTGGGGAGGGTGGTAGCCTCGGGGCCACTCGAAGTCCATACTGCTGCCTGGGCACCTGCTGTAGTAGCTGTAGTTTCGCCTAGCAGTCAGAAGAGTCAAGAGGGAAGGTGCACGTGAGATTCTAGCTCTGACAGACTCCCCACCCCCACCTCCCTTGCACTCAGCAGGACGAGTGGAGAACAGGCTGCCCTCAGTTTCATGGAAGATTCTGAATAGGGAGAGCAAGGGCCATTGCAGAAGGGCCCCAGCACTGGAGGCTTATGGTAAGACATATGCTGGTAGTTTCCACCCCTGGGCCAGCCTCAGGTCCAGGGCAGATGCCCCGTCAGCTTGACATGACCTGGGATGGGCACAGGGATACCAGGATGCATGAAGCCTGTTCTCCACCCACAAGGAGCTTAGAAAAGGCCGTAAGCACCCTACTCAGTGCAAGCTGAGGAGGAGAGAGGAACTGGGCTAGAAGACAGCAGCATGTGGCAGATTCTGTGAGAAGGTGTTGGTTTTGGTGGGGTGTTGGTATGTGTGGGGGAAAGGGGTACATTTCCATTCCAAGCAGGGAAATGAAAAGCAAGGCCCTGGTGCATACCCTTGAAGAGAGGGTGGAATGAGGCCTGTAGAGATGACTAACTGTCTATGCACTGGACATGGTATGAATAAGACCCCAAAGACAAGGATCCTGAAGGAAACCTGAGGTCCATCTGGCTCAGAATCAGTGGTTGTGGAATTTGGGCATTGGAAGAAGATGGTGGAGGTACCATGTGGAGAAGAGAAAGGGTCAGCCTGTGGCCAGGGACAGATGTGACCTTACAGCAGCACCACTTTTACTCTGGTGATCCTTTGGCCATGGTCAAATAGGGAAACGCAGTTCAGAGAAGGGGTGGCAGGTGACCTTTGTCCCCCTGGGTGTGTCCTGAAGCACAGTGCCTATTCCAGCCACCCTAAATAAGAGCTGTTCATCCACAACATGGTCAAGCTTCAGGTTGGCTTCAACTACCTGAGCTCCCCCAGGTTGGAGCTCCCATGGTAGTTAAATAAAACCTCTTCTCTCAGAACATGGGGATCTGACAGAAAGGCCCATCTCAGGTGTCTGGAAATCCTACTGAAAGGCTTCAGAGGTACCTGGAGGAATAGCAGGTAGCAGGTGTGAAATGCCTGTCCTCCCTCTTCTCCAAGTCTGGAGCTGTTGCCCTGGCTTTGCTTTTCTGGGGAACCCTGAGTGCAGCTGCAGGGTGCATCCTGCTAATCTCAGCACCAGGCAGAGCGCCTCACCTGCTCCAGGTGGGAGAGCTGTCATCCTCATAACACTCCTCACTGCTGAAATACTCGGGATCCCCCAAGCGGGGGTCCCTGAAGTAGCCATGTATGTCTGCTTCTTCCCGGCAAATAGTTGGGAGCTGCTCATCTCCTGAGTCAGACCTGCAGTCGGGAGAGAGGTCTAAGAGCCTGAGGAGGCACAGTGCCTACAGCCGCAGAGCTCCTCTGGCTTCTCCCCAGGGCACCTGCCTCAGGTCCCTGGCAAGGATGCTGTGCATGTAGTCTCAGGACCCTGTACAATACTGGGAACAAACTGCTGTGCCCAGAGGCTTTGGGACCAAAGACACAGACATAATTTGGAGAACAAAGCAAGAAGATGAGCCCAGGGTACTGCACACAGTGGTCAGTGGTCCTGTGGGAAAGACCCAGGGTTCCCAGGCCATCTGTGCTCACCCTACTGCCCCAGCTCCAGCCCAATGTGATTTCAGAACCTGGAACAGAGAGGCCTCTGCACCACTGACCTCCCACCATAGCAAACCAGGAAGGCCAAAGAGTTTTTGACCCAGCATCACAAGGAAGGCTGTCCTGATCTAAGGCTGTCATACCATCTTCCTGACACATGGATCCTCCTGGCCTTAAGGTTCAGGAGCACGAGCCAGGCTCAGTGACCACCCTCTCTCCAAAGGAAGAGCTGTGCTTCCTCACTCTCACCCTACTGAGGCCCTGTGGCTCCCAAACTTACTGGGAATAGAAAAACCAGAAGACTCATTTCCTCCTGCCCCTGACAACACAATTGTCCTACCCACAATTCAACTCAGCTCAACAGGTGGAACCCAGGCGTGAAGGTTGAGGGCTACAGGAGAAATGCCCAGGGAGATCTTTCTTGTGCCTGATCTTCAGGTCTGGGTCATGCTTTCCCTAAGACTCCTGACTTCTAAGAACATCCAGAGTTGCCCAGCTCCCCAGGGCTCTATAGGGGCACAACTGGCATGTGACCATGAGTCCTTGGTGGCAACAAGTCTATGCTGCTACAGATCTGAAAGCTTTTTTGCTAAGAGGAAGAAAAATCTCTGACCCTCCCCAAGGCCACAGCTCTGAATTATGAAAACCTATTAGGCTACTTAATAGCTCAAAGAAATGCTTCTCAATCCTTAGCATTCAGAGTGGCCAACTGGTAACACAACAGCACAGCATTTAACACAAAAACACAGGCAAGGAACACATACCTAATGTAAGTTTCATAATAGCGAGTTCTATCCAGGAAAGGCGTGACAGTGGAAGGGAGGGAGAAGACAAAAGTTAAACATTTCCAATGACATTTATAGTGCAGCTACTAAGCTACCTCCTAGCAGGGGTGGGCAAACTGTACTCAAGGGGCCAAATGTGGGCTTCTACCCCTTTTTGCATGACCCATGAGCTAGAACTTCTTATATTTATAAAGAGCTGAGAAAATCAAAACAAAATTATTTTATCATAAGTGAATATATGAAGTCCAAATTTCAGTGTCCACGCACCAAGTTTTATAAGGACTCAATCATCCCCTCCACTTAAAATCCAGTTTCTGGCTGCTTTCAATCAGCTGAGTGGTTGCAAGAGATCAAATAGTCCTCAAAGCCTAAAATATTTACTCTCTGGGCCCTTTCCAGGAGAAATCCACCAACCCCTGGCCCAGGGTACATTGATACAACTAGGGAGCATGGATTTTGCAGCTTCTTCTTTGAGGGGCACCCCATACAGCAGGATGCAGGACACGAGGTGGCCCCTGGTCTGTTGGGTCCCACATATATGGTGGGTGGAATAGCCATGAGCTTGTCAGTACTCCCAGGTTTTAATGCAAGTGTCTACAGGGAGTCTCCTCCGTGTGCCAGAGCACAGAAGACTCGCCTTGCTCCATAGGACGGACTCGACACAGGCAGACATTTTTACCAGTGCAAATGCATTTTAAAGGTTACCTTTTAATACTGGACCTTCTTTGAGGCTCCCGGTCATGCTTGTGGGAGGAATGATGCCCATTTTCAGATACATGCTCAAGGTTCCCAAGGCTGGGCCGCTTTCCATGGGCAGCTTTGGACATATTGGCATTATTGAGATTGGCATTTGTTGAGGTGGGAACTTGCTTTCCTATGGAATTATGGTTATGATGGTTATGACACACCGAATTTCCTGCTGGAGGAAACAGCGGTTTCTCAGTGTCACTTGCAGGTGGAATTGAAGGCCTTTGGACATGCAGGGGACGGTGGGTGGTATTGGTCTGCTGAAGGGAATCTCTCCTATCACTATTAACATGATTGACATGGTTTCCAAGCAGGGCACCATTTCTCTGCAAAATAATGGGAGACAACACCAGGTAATTTAACAAGTATTTGATGCAGGCTAGCTATGTCAGGTAATTTTTTCTACATGAAAAATAAATTCTAGGCAAGCTCCATAGGGTCCCTGTAAAACAATCTGAGTGTCTCAGTGGTCAGGGTGAATGTATTCACGTGGCAGTTGGTCCCCCTGAAATGAGGAAGGTTACCAATTCCTGAGCTGGGGAGCAGTCTCTCGGCTGTCACTCAACTGTGCTCTTCCGGTCACTCCAAGTTGAGGGGACTTATGTCCAGCTGGGCTGGTGGGCAGGCCCAAGGTGGGGGGGTAGTGGGCATACCCTCTGGCCTGGGGGACTGAGGGCCAAAGGCAGATCAAGGAGCTGGCCCAGGGAGGTAGGGTAATGAGTGTGTAGCTGCTGAAGAACCCAGAATGTTCCTCCACACTGGCCAGTGGCCATGGCCAAGCTCCTTGAAAGCTGACTGTTGGGGGCAGGGGTAAACTCAAGAGAAAGAGCTGGCCTGGCCTAGAAGAGGTGCTGGTGAATGGAGAGGGCCTTGGGGATGGGGAGGGTATAATCTCCAGCCCCTCTAGACCCTGCAACTGGTTTGCATTCTCCAGACTCTTCTGTGGATCATAACTGTCCCGACCGGAATCCTGCCCCACTATTTCCAAGTGGCCAGTATGGAGCTAGATGTGTTATAATTACTTTGAATACATCTTCTTCTTCTCGTTTAATTTCCTCCGGCTCGTCATCTTGTAAATCACAGGATATAGCACGCCGGATTTCTGGCCCAATGTCATGCAGTGTCCTTAATCCCGCCTAGATCAATAAAAATGGCAGAACAGGTTAGACAACATGGGGTCTTGGGTCCAGCCTGGGGTTTTGCTTCTGCCTGATTCAGTGGTTGGAGGGAAGCCTTCTCCAAAGGCCAGTCCGAGAAATGGACAGATGGACTGTAACTGAAGGCACTCTAAGGGTTGCTGGGTATGGTCAGGAGGTCATGATGGCTGGGATGCTGAAGTCTGCAATCCCCCCACCTGCAGGGAAGCATTGGCTGGCTGTAATAACTAGGGTCTGCCAAGCCGAGAGCACATTCCCATCAGTCAGTCTCTGGAAGGATGGCCTGCAGAGCACCATCTCCCAAGCCCTGAACAGGGAAGGGAATGAAGCTTAGCTGTTCTACATGGAGGGCGACAAGAACCCTCTGGCTGTATCCAGGATGAGGTGGCCTAGGTGCAGGCACCAGAGGAGCAAGCAGACCAAGCAGCTACCAGGACAAGTGGCTTTGCAGAAAAGCCATGGAACAGTGAGTGACACACATACTGCAATCACTAGCACACTCGACTGTGACAGAGCAGACAGTCAAGCACACAGACCTGGGCCGCTGTGCAGTGGGCCGCTGTGGCCATCCATGGTGCCCTGGCCTGTAGCCGGAGAGCAAGCTGAGAACTGGTCAACAGAGGGGTTTCTGAAGACCGGGACACCAGCATCTGTGGGCAATGCAAGACCACTGGGAGACCCCACCCCGAACCACCCTGGGAGCCCACAGAAGTTCTGCATTTCCCCTGAGGTCTCTGGTCTTCCTCCTCCAGTTCCCAGTCTACTAGGACAGAGCCTGGGAGAAGCCCATCCATTGTTCACGGAAAAACGTTCTGAAATATGATGGACTATATGAATGAGGAAGGGGCAGTCTGGCTCTGAGGCAGTTTTGACCATCAGTTTGGAGAAAAACAGCATGTTGACTTAATGACAAACAGGGGCCATGCAGTTTCTCCATCCTTTCCCACCAAAGGACTTGCCTCTGAAAGAGGCATTTCCCCTCCGTCGCCAGGTCCTGGGTGCTGTATCCAGGCAGCACCTCCCCAAGGCAGTTGCCTGCACCCCAGCAACCACTGAAAGCTAACAGAGCACCAAGATGCCTTGGACAGGCCTCCTGCTGCTTGGACTCCAAGCTCAAAGTGGTTCGTGAAGGAGAGTTGGCCGAGTGCTAGGGCCCCAGGGGAGGGGCTGCTTTCCTGTCCTTCCTCCTCAATACCAAGTGAGGGGTAGGTGGCTGTGGCAAGGTCATAGAAAACTATGACCACATCCGATACATGCAAGTGGTGGCAGGGGGGACACCTGGCAGTGGTTCTGGGGAGGGAAGCAGTCATGCTAGGCCTGGCAGGACTGGGCCCCCCTGGGGTAGAAATGCTCAAAACTGGTCTTCTGCCAGTGGTGGTGACATCCATTTAGAATGTAAAGTTGCCCAGGAAAGTCCCAAGAAGCCCCTTATAAACAACCTTGCCCATAAGCTCACCCAGCCTGTGAGATGATTCTGTTAAAAAGGACACAGCAGGCTGGGTTGGGTTTGAACTCTCCTCAGATGGAGGGCAGAAGGTCCTTCCCTTTTCATGGATTGTGGGGATAAAGGAGGTGCCAGAGTGAAAGCTTTAAGGTCCCTGGCTGTGAGTGCTGTGGTCGTGCAGGGGGATGACAGACGTGTGCCGGGTCAAACCCAGAACAGTTCTTGGTGTGGTCGGCGAAGCTGCTTCTTGCTCTCCCATCCCTCTGGTCACAAGCACAAGAGCACACATGCACACACGCACACTCATGCTTTCTGTCTCCCAGGATCCCCAAGGCCAGCTCATCTGAGCCTGGGGAGTCGTCTGGTTCTCAGCAGGCCCGCCTGCCTCGCTAGGGCAACATGGCAAGGGCAACGCTAACGTTGTGTTGGCAGAAGCTCATACTCAGCACAGCTGCAGGCATAGAAGACAGGAGGCATCCAGCAGCTCCGAGCAGCCTGCAAGCCACTCACTTGTACCCAGAGTTCTCTAGGGTACAATTATCATGGCTAAGCAAGGGTCTCTGTCTGATTTTGGATCAACTGGGGAGAAAAAGGTCTGTTATACAGCTGATTCACAAACAAGGAGCCAGGGCTGGAGCCACCTGCTCCTGTCTCCATAAAACAAACAGGGTTACAATGACTAAGCCGGCACCCCCAGTGCGTGCCTGTCAGCCCATGTTATAGCCGGGGAAGCTCCGAGTATGAAAAACAGACAGTCCTACTTGTCATTCAACTGAGTGGACTAGGTCTGATTAAAAGAAATAGAAAACTATTTATTCAGATAATTTTTAACATCATCCTCTGTTGACGGGTTGACATTTCACTGAAATACACATATAACATAATTGCATAATAAAAGCAAAAACCGTCTCCAGCACGTCTTCAGTGATACACAAGATTAGGATTTAGTTGACAAGATAGTGCAGCAAACAGACACAGGACAGAGAATTTGTTCGCAACATAAATCATGGAGAAGGTAGAGAGGTGACCCAAGGTGCCACCTCCCAAAGACAAATAATGATAACATATTTATTAAAAAGACATTAAAAGAGGAAAGCATCATTCTTCCCAGACATGAAAGCAGCAGTTTAGAAATCACTATTCTAGTTTGCTTGTTCCACATAGGACAAAACATACCTGGTCAGAGTCAGGACTGACTTTGTTCTTTCACATGGGACCTGGGGCGGTGGGGGGTGGGGAGGGGGGACAGAAGTCCCCAAAACTAGAATTGAAATGAAGCTTAAGCACAGCACCCTGAATTTATTACATATCACAAAACATGATAATGAAAATTTTCTAGCACACATATCAAGCTAAAAGGTAGCTTCGGCTGCTCCAAAAATTCCATAGGCACAAATTCCAGTTTTAAAAAGTACAGACAACTATCTTAAACCCTTGAAAAAGTTTTTCTTTCACAACCCTAAAAAGAACATTTTTTTCTTGAAATAAACACTTTACAATCAATAAAATTATCTATCCTGTCATATTTCATGTCTGTGTCTACCTCTGCAAAATACTGTTTTAATTTGAAATGTGGTCATTAGCACTTAAACCAACATAAAGCCATAGAAAGTCATTTCATTCACATCACAGTAGAATTATGGTTTCGAATAAACACAGAATTGCTATAAAATATAAACATTATTGACTTGTTTTAAGATGTCCAATCTTATAAAATATTAAACAGAATCAAGCCTAGTTTCTGGTTGATTTTAAAATGTTAGATGTTATCATAAATATTTTTTTTTTAAAAAAGAAATGTTGGCGCCTTGCCTGTAGTCTGCTGCTTTAAAATTTAGACACCATTTAATTGGAATTTTATAGATATTTACTCTACTCAATGATTAAGTCACCAAAAAATAAATCTATAAAATCTCTTTTCTAAACATTTCTAAAGCAACAGCATAAAATTATGACATTTTGACATCAAGTACACACATTCATTCTCTTCCTCTCTCTTGCTTACTTTTAGAGCTAAGTTTCTCCTATCTGGGTGCATGTGAAAGGCTTTCTCTGCCCTCTCCCCCTAAACTAGCTCCCACAGACACACCAGCCCTCTGCCGGCCTGCACAGCACCACAGCATGCACACACCCACACCGAAGTCCGGCCATGGCCCTGTACCTACGCTGTAGCAGTGCAGAAAAGACAGGAAAGTCTCCAGTCGGGACGGGGCCTGGCTGTCCATCTTCAGGATGTGGGTGCCGGGTGTGCAGTCCCCAGACTGATCCCACCACGAGCAGGCTTCACTCAGCCGAGTCTGGCCCTGCACACTGTCATCTCCCTAATGACAAGTTCTGGTTAACTCTTTTGCAAGACTGACCCACACTGGATTGGAAGGGACGATTTTAGACTAGCTCCATTAGGAAAAAAAAGAGCTGGAGATTCAATTCTTATGGAATAAACCTGCTCATCTACAGGCGTCCTCCGCCTCCTCCTCCGCATGCTCGGGCACACCCCTTATTTTTGTTGTTGCTTTTCTCCAGGGAAAATGTCACGGTGTGGCCTTTGTGTCCATTGTGACTAGTCAGATATAAAAGGTTAGACTCATGGGCATGACAGTCTGTTAGTCATCCACAGCGATTGGTACTCTCATTGAAAAGTCATCGATAACAGTCCCCTCCCCCCAGTCCCCCCCAGGGGCAGTGCCAGACCGTATAAACCAGGTTAGACATCGTCACTCTGAAAGCCAAAGGAAACTTTAAACGGATTACCTAAAGTAATTCACGACTATCGCAGTAAAGAATCTAAGATACCTATCTGTTTCAGTGCCACCTTGATTTTTTTCTTCTTCTTTCCAGTACTGGGAACCAAACCCAGGGCCTCACACATGCTAGGAAAGCCCTCTACAGCTGAGCTCCATCCCTGGCCCCTTCTACCTTGATTCCTGGTTATAGTTTTAACACCACCATCAGAAAGACTGTTAGTTTCCTGAAAAACAAAGAGCACTATGTAAAATGGAGGCTCAGCAGAAGCTGCAAAATCATAACTTCCTTCCCACAGATGTACTCCCATCCTGGAGAGCCACGTACTGGTATTCCATCAGATTCTGAGGAAAAGGGCAAGCCAAGAGGATGCCCATTTTGCTAAATTATACACTCAAACTAGTGTTAGGTCTCAGCGAGGACTCTTGGTCCCTAGGCTGGTTCTTCCCATGATCCTACACTGGCCCTACCTCTCCCAAACTCTCACATGGACCCTCAGCAAGACAGTCTTTGCATCTACTGGGAAAGCCTGGGAATCGAGTCTCAGTTGCACACACAGAGCAATCCTCTTTTGACTAATTTAGCAGAGCTCTCGCATCCCTGTGTCAGTACAGGGATGACAGGTGGTCACAGGTCATCTCTGCAGCTGGGCCTGTCTGGCACATAACCCGGGTCTCAGTTCTGCTGCTTAGAGGAGCCGAGATCTTGAAACACACTTTCTATCACGCACTAGTTCAAACCACTGTTGCTCCAGATCAGCACAGATAGTGAGACTTGGCCATACCACAGGCCT